AAAAACTACCAAACGCGCGGTCGGCTGTTTCAAAAAACCCAAAACGCAGGTGACTAGCATTTTAACCGTTTTCATGACTGGCTGGACCCACCGGTCAGGCCACGTGGCCACGCGCACTCACGGCGCAGCAGTTGACGGCCGTTAGCCCGGCCGGTCCGGTCGGAGCAGGGTAAATACCCTCCGTCGGTCGGGCCGCCCCTGCTCGCGCACTCTCCCACTCCCCTGCTCTAGTACGAGCTCGCCGCCGGTCGCCGTCTTCGAGGCCGGCCAACGTCGACCTCCTTGCCGCCATGCCTTCCTGGAACGACGAGGAAACGAGCTCCAACGATGACTGCGAGGTCGTCAGCATGGACATGGGACTTTAAGTTTATTCCTTGCCACCTAGGGTTAGGGTTTGGGTTAAATGCTAGTAGGCCTAGGCTACAGCCATGGATCTTGCTTAGTTTAGGGTTATTGTTGTCTTTGTGATATGGATCTAGATTAGTGAGAGTGGGGGTTGGTTGTAGGATTGAGCTAACTTAGGGTTCATCTGTGTATGGTGTTAGGGTTCTTGCTGATTTGGGGATTTGTTGAGTGTTTAGGGTTAATGTATAGTGCAAATTTATTGTGCTTTTGAGTGGTGATTGAAACCAGTGTTCTTTTACTTTTTTCTTTTGGTTGCAGGAGGAACCAGACACCATTGTGGAGCCCCTTTTCTGTGGCCAACTTGAGCTTGCTGGACCCAAATGCATTCTGCACCACATGAGGCATGTTAAGCGTGTGGCTTTTGAAGGCATTGTAACAAGAAGGCGTTTCTATGGCTGCCCAGTCCAGGTTAGATGTCAATTAAGTTTGTTAGACATGGATGTTCAGTGGAGCACATCATGCAACAGTTTGTTACTGATATGACAGTAGTTGTTATTTCACTTATGTTTTTCTTTGTTACTTTGCAAACTTAATCATGGCATTGTAATTACTTATCATATCTCATTTATGTTACTCATTGTTAGAAAATTTCAAGTTAATCATGGCAGTGAAATAAGCTAATCCTCCACTTGTAATAACTTATCACATTTACAAATGCAGGAAAATGGTGTGAATTGTGGTGTTGTAGAGTGGGTTGATGGGCCTTGGCCTCCTGTACTTCAGAGATGTTTGTGCAAGCTATGGGAAATGTTCCATGAGCAGAACCTAGGAAGGGTACTTGACAAGGAGAAGTTTGAGAAGGAGCTGGACAAGGTTAAGACTGAACATGATAGGGAGTTGGCCAAGCTTAAGATTGAAAATGACAAGCTTTGCATTGAGTACACCAAGCTTGTTGAGGATGTATCCAAGATGTTTGATTGGCAGGATGGTAGGGTGGACAAGAAGGTGAACCAGAAACAGGTGGAGGAGGAAGAACTTGAGAAGAAGGAGGTAGAGGAGAAATCTAGGTTGGAGGTGCAAATGAAAAAGCTTAAACTTGCAGATGAGCAGAGGTGCGTTTTGCAGAGCCAAGCTGATATCATCAAGAACACCAGGAAGGCTATGAAGGATGTTGAAGTTGACAGATATCTTCTTAAGAAGGAGAAGGCAAAGCTTGAGCAAGTTGTTGCTGAGTTGTTGAAAGATGGGTATGGTAGCAAGGAGAAGTTAGAGCAAATCAAGGCCATCCTTGATTCATGAAGTTGTTGTGAAATATTGGTGAAGTAAGTACATCGAAGGCCTATATATAAGGATGTGGCCTAACTATCTCAAGTGATTATATGGGTGTACATTTTGGGGGAATGTGAAGTTAACCTAGGGTTTGGCACTGCATTTGAACTTTAGTGTCTTATGTAAGAAACATACTTGCTATGTTCTTAAGTATGTTGTAATGGATCTCCAATGCTATAGTATTAAGGAGTAAGTGTTGTAATGGATCTTATATGTTGTTGGCCACTAGTCTCTATTAATCTTCTATGTTATATGTATATTCAGAACTCATATATTTATGTATAGGGGTATTGGTCTTACTGGGCCACTAGTCTCTACTAAAACCCTAGGCCTACTAAAACCCACCCACCACCCACCCCCTCCACCACTGTCAATATAAACCCCTCCCCACCTCGGCCATCCTTTCCCAGCCACTATAGCAACCGCCACCCACATCAAACCCTAGAGATGGATCCTGACATGGGAGATGTCACGGAGGAGGAGGGAGAGGCCGTGGAGGTGAGGCCTCCAGCAGCATAGCAGAGGAGGAGGAGGCGTAGGCTGAGGGAAGAGGTGGCCGCCCAGGATGAGCAGGAGCTTGAGTACAACCGCCAGCTCTCTGATAAGGTGCTAGAGAAGTGCAATGATGAAGAGCTTGAGCTTGTTTTCCTTGGTGGCAGGGGAAGGAGCTTCATGCAGATCATTGCTTGGGCGGGGAGAAGAGCAGTTGTGGCTCCTCATCCATCTACTAGGGCTAAGTGGGCTCGTTTCTTAGAGCGTTATGACTGATCTATTTGTATCTCTCTCTATGTATCTACCTATCTATCTATATGTATCTATCTATCTATCTATCTATCTCTCTTTGTAAGATCTGGATCATAATCAATATGTATGCTACTCTGAATCTATGAATGCTACTCTGAATTTATTTATGCTACTCTAAATCTATGTATGCTACTCTCAGTCAATATATGTTTTGGATCTGTAATTTATGTTGTTGAATATCTCTGAATCACCATAACTATTCACACTTGACAGTCCAACCTAACTGTGAATAGTCCTGCTCCTCTCAAAGCACACAAGAAAAATAACTGACTAAATCAACACCAGATTAATTGTTTGAATCAACACAAGATTAAGTGACTGAATATCTCTGAAAGCACACAAGAAAAACCACAAAAGAAAGTATAGTTATTACAAACCGCAGCAGTTCAACCTAAAGACACAAATCCAGCCATATTTGTTCACTAACATAAACAAGGACCAGCCCAAATGAACTCAAGTTCAGACACACACATGCTAGTTACCACTTGCATAGAAATAATCTTTCAACCTCCCACTTGGCTTCCTGATCCTCTTTGACCCAGCCTAGACAAGAGTTGAAGGTGATTGCCTTGGTGCAATGAATGTTCTTCTCTGGGCACTTGCAGACCTGGTGTTCTTTGTTGGAGATGTTGTAGATGATCTGGTGTTCTTAGCAGGAGAAGAGGTGTTGGTGCTTTTCTTTGTAGCTGGTGTTGTTGCTGGTGCTGGAGAAGTGTTAGTCCTGCTCCTCTTGGATGGTCCTTGTGCTACTGCTACTGAAATAGTTGAAGCAACCCTTTTATTTGACCTATAAGTAGCGATGGAACTGGTGAAGGTGCAGAAGCTGTCACTACAGGAATCAGCTACTTTGACGTCTGCCACGGCGGACGGCAAAGGCATGAACAGCGGACGGCAAAGGCATTTGCCGTCAGCCGCGGACGGCAAAAGGCTCCGGCAAAGTAGGCTACGGTAAACAGCTACTTTGCCGTCTGCTTCCTGGCGGCTGACGGCAAAGGCCCTTTGCCGTCTGCGGCGGACGGCAAAGAGAGCGGACGGCAATTATTGCGCTGTCAGTCCGTTAAGTGGCTAACGGCATGCCTTTGCCGTCCGCCGCTGACGGCAAAATTTCTAGTGTCTTTGCCGTCCGCCGTATGATGTCATCTACACGTCACTACATGGCAGGTTCTTTGCGGTCTGCCACTGATGGCAAAGTGCAGGTTCTTTGCCGTCCGCCACTGATGGCAAAGTCTTTGCCGTCTGCCACTGTAGGCAAACTGACCAAATGGGTCAGCTCCCAGGAAGCACAACTAGATGCCACGTGTCTTCTTTGCCGTCCGCGGCAGACGGCAAAGAGCCCGTTGCCGTCGGTGGCAGACGGCAAAGAGCCTGCATATTGGCTCTTTTATCTGTTTTTTTATTAAATCCAACAATTTTCATCACAAATATATATGACATATATACATATATTTCAAAAGGCCATTACAGAGCAAACATATAAGATATCCAACACATAACTTCATCATCCAACCATATATATTACATGCATAGTTCCATCATACATAACAAGTTCAACATAGAGGCATCCAACTATATATATTACAACAGTTTCATCCAACGATACATGCATAGTTCAACGATACAAAAGAAACAGAGAAAGGGATAAGGAGCACTCCATCTATGCAAGCTTTCGTCAAGTGAATGAAATCTGCAAAATGAAAAATAAGAAAGTTAGAACAAGAAGAGTAGAACAAGAAGAAGAGTAGAACAAGAAGAAGACTAGAACAAGAAGAGTAGAACAAGAAGAAGACTAGAACAAGAAGAGTATATCATTTATGAGCTAACTTACGTGAAATGGATCATATATGAGCTAACTAAGTTGAAATGGGTCGTTTATGAGCTAGCTAAGGTGAAATGGATCATTTATGAGCTAACTTAGTTGAAATGGGTCGTTTATGAGCTAACTAAGGTCAAATGGATCGTTTTTGAGGTAACTAAGGTGAAATGGATCGTTTTTTAGCTAACTTAGGTGAAATGGATCATTTATGAGCTAACTTAGTTGAAATGGATCGTTTTTGAGCTAACTTAGGTGAAATGAATCATTTATGAGCTAATTTAGTTGAAATGGATCTTTTTGAGCTAACTTAGGTGAAATGGGTCATTTAAGAGCTAATTTAGGTGAAATGGATCGTTTTTTAGCTAACTTGGTGAAATGGATCGTTTATGAGCTAAATTAGTTGAAATGGATCGTTTATGAGATAACCTAGGTAAGATGGGTCATTTTGGAGTTAACCTAGGTGAAATGGGTCATTTTAAAGCTAACGTAGGTAAAATGGATCATTTAGGAGCTAATCTAGGTAAAATGGGTCATTTTTGAGCTAACTTGGATGAACTGGATCATTTATAAGCTAACCTAGGTAAAATGGGTCATTTTAGAGCTAACTTAGGTAAAATGGATCGTCTATGAGCTAACTAAGCTAATTATGCAATTTTTGACATAAGTAAGCTAAGTACAGATCGTTTTAGAGCTAACTTAGGTAAAATGGATGGTTTTGGAGGTCAGTAAGCTTATTAAGTAATTTTGGAGGAGAAGAAGCTAAGTCTAGGTCATTATGGTAAGCATTGGAGGAAATAAAGCTAAGTCTAGGTCTTTATGCATGTGTTAAGCAAAACACTAGATAAACTTACCAAGATCCAGGAGGTGTAGGAGCGGGGTGGCTCGTGTCGGTAGCTGGAGAAGGATCGTGCGATGCTTGTCTGGAGTTACGCTGCACCAAAGATCATTTCCAATGTCTTGTTAGCATGATGACACTCAAATGTTAAGACTAGCAAGTAATTTCCATTCAAATAATATGTGTATCACTTAAGTGTATCATCATCAAGTACAACATAAAAAAATGTAATACCTGACACTACTAATAATCTCGATCAGTATCATCAATAAATGCATAATCATCATCATCACTATAATCAATGACGGGCTCATAGGGTTCATTGGCATCAACATGTGCAAGGCCACCTTGACGTAATCGGTCAAGCATTGACAGGCCATCCGCAGCAGTAACCTCTTCTTGTTCCGGCTCTTCTTGTTCCTCTTATGGGGTGATGTCAGATTCATTGTCGTTGTCTACTTCAATGTTTTGGGGGTGAAGTATAGCGGTTCTTGAAACGCTTTTTGGAAAGATGTGCCTCTTGGAAGAATTCTCCTTCATATGTGTCTGGGTTAATGTGAGGTTCATAATCCTCTTCCTTTGGGGGAGAAAGTCTAGCACGTGGCGGCACTTCATAAACGACATCCCAACCTTTCAGATTTGGATTAGTTTGGCAGGCCCACGGTAGATAGAATACTTGGGTCGCCTGTTGAGCCATAATATAGACATCAGGAACATCTAAATGAGTGCTTTGGTTGATTTCAACTAGCCCTACATGTTCATGAGTCCTTCTAGTCTCCTTCGGCTGAAACCAATAACATTTGAAGACTACGACATTCGGTGGGTTTTCACCATAGAACAGAAGTTCATAAATTGCTTCAACTCTCCCATAATACTCGTTACCTCCTTCACCGGTAGCAGATACACAACAATTTGTTGACTTTCGGTCGGCCATAGATAGCTCTTTGCCATAGGTACGAAAGCGATACCCGTTGATGTCGTACTTGTCAAATGAACGGACCTTATAGTCAAAACCATTAGTGACTTGTCTCAATTCGGCGTCCATAGACTCTGAATTAGCCTACAAGTTTAATATGAAAGGATTGTTGCATTATGCACAAATTAGCGAATGAAATGAAATTGTCTAATAGAAATTACCGTTTGTTTGAACCAAGAGATGAAACCGGGATAGCCACCTCCTTGCTTTGCGAGAAGCTCATACTCTTCGACGGAATCCTTTTGGATCTCCGCTCCATACAAGAATATGGCGACGTATCGACTATATGACATATCCAGGAATAAGAGTAGTTCAAAGGAAATAGAAGTTGCGAAACAATGTACCGAGAACTTACTCGATGTACGGCCGCACTTCTATCAGGTTGTTGAAGATGTACAATGAAATGGTCTGCCATTCTTCGTTATCCAAAGATACTGGATGTGAAACACTAGCTGGTGCGAGATTCCCTTTGAATAGGCTGAGGTTGGATCCACCCTTTTTAGGCTAGTCAGCATTGTACCGAGGCTTCGGATTATGCAAAT